ATTTTTAATTTAAAAATCTGCTTGGTTATTTCAAGTTACACAAATAGATTACCACTTAGATTAGCCTCAATTAGCTTTAAACCATGAATTCTACAAAGAAACCCAATATTTATTAAATTCTAACATGGACTAAACTTCCTCTGGTTTTGTGAACTTTCATGTACAGATAACAATTTTTGTATTAACACGTATTACAAAATTATAGATTTATTTCAATGCTTAGGAACTCTGCCTCTGGGCTTAGTCAAGTGAAGCGGCTGCGGCATTTATGAAAATCCTCTAAAAGGCAGTATCTAATAAGGGCTCTTCCCAAATTCTGCCCTCATTCGTAAATCATACAGGGAGGAAATTTTATACAGGTAACATTAGATTGATGAAACCTCAGCCTATAAGAAGTAAAAGTAAACTTAATCACTGGAAACATTATAGCAAATTACATGGTAAAATTATAGCATGTCAGATACACCACCGGAAGTAAACGTTTCAGTTTCAAAACTCAATACAGCAAATACAAGTGAAGATCCTTTTCTACAATGCATAGCTCATGAATTAATTCGAGTTTTGGGGGGGAGGTTGCGTCATCACAGAGCAGTGTTAGGGCTCTGTGGTGCTGATTATCCAACAGACAAATACTCAGTACCAATGAGACGACATTGGACATCACGTCTAGTTATTAAAGCAAACATTTCCAGATAGGCCTCAAATTCATGTTGCTCTGTGTCTAATGCCATGCTGATAAAAAATTGGTTGTTCACAATTAACCTCATTATCTTCCTCGGAGAAAGATTTATATATTACAGATATTTGGTTAAGAAGGAAAAAACCAACATGAAGACCAATCAGGTACGTCCACATACACTACACACTTAAATCTCACTGTAAACCTATGAGATGGACATTTCTATGCTAATTTTTCAGTTATGAGGCAGTATACTCAGAGAGGGCACCTAACTACCCCAGGACACGTCAGTCAACTGCCAAACCGGCTCTGCGGATCTCCAAAGACGCTTCCTTCTCTCCATTAGGCTGCAAGGCACCAGGTGGAGTTACCACTTCCAAAATTTTCAACAAAAATGTCCCATCACAGGAAGCATTAAACTACTTTTTTGGGGGGAGGGGGGATTACACGAGCTTTTTAATTGTGCAAAGATATAGTGTTAAAATTCCCATTATACATAAAGTGATATGACAGTATCTTACCTAATAACAGACAAACATGTAAATTAACCGTCCCTCCGCTATGCTCACCAGACAATCAGGAGAGTATGCAAATTAACCCAACAAAGATGGCGGTTAATTTGCATACGTAGGGGCGAAGCTAAGACTGAAGGCTCCATCCGGAGCGAAGGCCTGGGTCCCGGGTGCCGGAGGAAAACCGGTGCCGGCAACCAGGGGAAGGGAAGGCATATTGCACGAATCTCTTCGTGCAACAGGCCTCTAGTATTAGTTATAACTAATGACAATATCACATACCTTCACCTGGAACAGGAAAGGGGCTACTTTACAAGGTTGTTGGGAAGGCTGAGTGAGAGGATGCTTCTGCAATGGATAATTATATAGACTAATGAAGTAAATGAAGGCACTTTTCAAATGCTGACTGCTACAGAAACCTGAGCTCTCACTATAAGTCCTGTGTCTGGGTGTGAAAACACACATCAGTGTTAACTCTGTGCACTGCCTACATGTTTCAGTACATCCCTGAAAATAGTTATAAAATTTTGTTACATAATATTGGGGCATTCTCATATATGACCACAGCAAGAGAAAGTACTACTATATGGAAGGGGGAAAAACTTTACAGAATCCAATCAGAAACTGACTCAGTAAAAGGAGTACTAGCTTTTTTCTTATCCATTACAATGTTGTGTTTTTCAGTAAAAGGTGGTTTAGATGTATATTCATAGAATTATTTTTTTAGGGTAAAAGAGAGATACCAATACCGTCAAAATTCTTCTGCATAGTAAAATCACCCTTTTCTAAGAGAGTCAAACTAAAATTCCTCCCAAATAAAAACAGTTTGGCATATTCCTTTGTGTTCAGTAAAATGAATTTTTAATCATAAAAGATACTACACTACTTCTATGAGGTGTATGTGCATTGAGGGGGCACAGGGAAAAGCACAGAGGAAGTAAAGGAGGAACACTCCCTTCCCCTATTAATAGACGTGGTGGATGTTAGAATGCGTCTTTGCCTTCCATGGGCTCTCCTCCCTCTGTTTACATTACGAACTCTGTGTCAGCAAGAAACTGAGAGTCTGAAACTTTCCAAGTACCTAGTGTAACGTTCATACACAGTGAGCCTTAAACACTTATTACAATAATGAGATTCATACTGGCTCCCAAAGCTCGTAAAATGCAGAGCTTCACAAGTTATTATGCATGAAACTGTGTTGAAGGGGGCATAAATGCTGGTAAACAGTGATTCAACTTCCTTGGAATAACTCTAATGTAGTCAAGAAGCTCATAATGAGACCAAATAACTCAAAAACCTCTTTCAGAAAATAACTGACTACTAATAATGCCACAAACTGAATGAAAGTTCGCAGGCTTCTTCATTACTGTAACCGATGACTGTAAGAACCAATTCTATTTTACTGGGAGTGTCGGACCGAGTGGAAAATCTGTCGGCAACAGGGGTTTGTTCCCATGTATTTTTTTTCTAGGAATCTAGCTGGTTAACATTTTTTGGAGTCATGTTGCATTTTAGATTTTTTCATGACAGAATGTTTGGAGGCACAAACTGAGAAAAGCACTCAAAAAGTTAACCTTGGAAAAAGGTCTAAGGCATAGATTATGAAATGCGAGTACTTTCGTCAAAGAAGTCCTGAGTGATTTTCCCAAACAAGATTTCTGACATCATTCAAAAACCAGACTGCAATAGAGTTTAGTTAATTTTTCATGTAAACTAATCATGGAATGCCCTTCTGGCCAAAGCAGCAGATATTTGAAACATCAAAAAAGCTTTCTGGCAGCCAGACCATAGACGCCCCAGTGAATGTTTTCCCTCAAGATAAATAAGGCCATGGCAGCTGCTGCCTCCACTTCACACCCCTGCCCGTATGAAACACGTACAAAGTGTTGAATGGAGCAGGCAGTTTCATTATGAGAGGAGGTTTGTTTTTGCTTCTTAAAGGAAAACGTTTTGGCTTAAAAGAAAACCAGCTTTGTACCAACCATTTACAAAGGTATGTATGTGTACAAAAATACACCTTGAAAATGAAAACTACCATGTGCTGGACAGAATGTATTCTCCAGAAAGAGCTCTTGATTCTAGAACGTAAATTCCCAAATGTGAAGAAATTCGTTTTCCACTATAATAGTCCTCCCAAGCAAGTTGCGACAGCCCTTCTATGTAAGGTATACATAATTTTTACTATTTTCTATTTACTATTTTCTAATTACATTAGAAACTTCAAGGCAAATGAGACTTTAATTATATAAATCCATTTCTCCTTGATATCTAACTGCAAAAATAATTTTAAGACTTTGGTAATATAATTGAACAGTTATCAAAACTTTAGAAAATGTATTTTGCTTGTCAATTTTCCTGTGTTTGGAACTGTGCTGCCCAACAAAGCCTCTCCCTGCCATGATGGGTGAAGGTTAAAGTCTATTCTAATATCAAAATTCTATTGACATCTGAACCACTGTATAAAAATGGTATCGGTCCAGACCAAGAAAAAGCACTTCAACATTGCCTAATAAAGGGGTTAGAGATAATAAAAGGGCTATATGGAAGAGATAAGAAGAAACAGTTACATAATACCAAGAAAAAGATAATATTTGTATTTAGCATCTGATAACCTTTTCAAAGTGGTGAATACCAATGATAGAGCAGTGATAAAGTTCACTTGAATGGCCAAAAATATTTCTCAACTTAAAGCATAAAAGATGATTCCATTCTACAGTAATACTCAGCCATCCACTTTAAAAAGTCACAATTCACAGTAGAAACTCACACAGAAAGTCCTCCAGATATTTCATAATCATATCTTCAAACCAGTAATCACATGAAATTCAAGGGGAAAATTCCAATTCAAAATATAAGGAGTTTGTTCTCTTAAAAAAACATGTAACAGCTAAACTAATTATTACTAGTAAAAGAAAGTTCACCGATAAAACTTTTCATCCTATTATAAACTATGAAAGCTGCAGAGTCATCATTTGCCTAGTGGGGTTAGCAGCTGTTTTTCTGTACTCCATTTCACTGAAAAGGAGCAAGCAAGAACATAAGAGCAATAAAGGCCAAAATCTGTTCTAGAGCATCTGTTCCCACAGCTGGAGACAGAACACTTACTATTCTATGTACAGCATCCCAGCTTAGACACTAGAGCAGGCAGTGTTAAGTTGCAGGCCATGCAATCTGACCATTAACCAGTCCCCAGTCAGTTTCACTTAGCTGAGACCCAACAGCCCATCTGGTTCAAAATGCATTTCTTACTGTCCCCCTCTTGTTCAGTATTCATGGGACCCAAATAAAGAGGATAAATGCTAATAACTAGTGCCAACCCTCTACTGCAAAAATGCCATCAGGAAGAATTTGCTCACATTTTACATACACTTTAGTTTTGGGTGATATTCTCTTGCCTGTATTAGAACTACTGTAAAAGAGAAGTGCTGTCAGGCTATATTTGCAGGCAGCTTTTAAATGCACTTCCAACATCAACGTGTTGGGGCCTGGCAGATTAAAGTAATAAATTTTTAAATGCTTTTATGCATAAGGGGAAATGGGGGGGGTGGATTTTCAAAACTGAGTTGTTGGAGGTTGAAGACATAAAGAAAAGATATTTTTTGAAATGCTAACAAGTTTCATGGACCTCTACCAAACACCGGAGCACAAATCAGCTCCCACAAGTCGGCCCAACTTCAGTTACACTGCCCCAAGCTGGGAAACTCCCGGAGGGAATAGGATGAAGTTTATTTTAATTGCGCTGCGGAGTAAGCTTTCTGGGCTTGAATTAGTCCTTTACGTCCCTCACATGGAAACACAAGCTAACTTACCGGTGCTCCAGCCAAGGTGGAGCCAGAGCTGGTGTCTGTACTCTCCTTGGGATCCTCATGAGATTCCTCGGGTCCGCGAGTCACAAGAATTCTGAAATGCTGCTGCCCTGCATTTTGGTCTTGCCTGATCTTAAACGTGCAGCCCTGACCCTGTGGCGTCCTTTCCACGGAATTCGTCCTGTGGACTTCGGGAGCCATCCTGCGGCCCCGAGGCGGCGTCTCCGGGTGTCCCAAGTGGCCCCGATCTTCCATGGAGCTGTTGTGCTCTGCTCGGGGCTGTGTGGGGTACGAGGTGCTCCTCTCAAGCCGGATACGGGGGTACCGCACCAACCTGTCCCCCTTCGTGCCCGTGAACCCAAAGTTGAAGTCACCACCCATACCAGGTGCGCCTGGAGGCGGCTGCTGCAGCTGGAAGACAAAGCACCGCTTCCCAGAACTTCCAGAAGCATCTGGTACGTGCTGCAGGGACCAGCGCCTGGGCTCCGGAGTTGAAGAGCCGCACAGTCCATCGGCCCCGAAGGGCTGCGTCAGCCTCACCTGGCGCATGTCGGCGCTGGAGGCTCGGTGCTGGATCCGGAGCCCGCCACCCTTGGGTCCCCGAGGCTCGCCCTCCTCACGGCCATCCGCAGGGACAGGACTCCGTGCTAGGTGGCCACACATGCCGTTCACTTGGGGGCCTACACCCCTGGTGGCCCTGGGTGGAGAGTTCTCCGGGGTCTGGGACTTGGGGGGCTCCGTACAGCGGCCCAGAGACACCGACCCTGCGTCGCAGTCTAGACCCTCGGGTGGCCCGCACGTGTCCGGGGCCCCGTCGGCCGCTTTGCGCTGCAGCGAGATCTGCATGGACGAGCTGCGCGTGGGCCGCGCGTCCATGGGGCTCAGGAGCTGCGGGATGAACATGGACGTGCTGCGCTTGAGCGCGCCCACCGCTTCCTGCAGGCCTCCGTCCTCCGCGCGGTGGGCGCAGGGGTGAGGGCCGCTCCTCCGCGGCAGGGTGTGGAATGTCATGAAAAAGTCGTCTTCTCTCTCCTGGTCGAGGATCTCTGATTCAGGGGCTGTGTTGCTGCGACTGGAGCCAAAATGAAACCGAAGCCGATGGGCCATGGTGCCCAGGGGGGCAGGGAGGGAGAGGACGAGCGGCCGCAACACGCCCGGCACTGCCAGAAGTCAAAAACCGAAGACACAAACTCCAAGAAAAAGCGTCCCACCTGCCAAACCTTTAGCACTGCGGCACCAAGAGCGACAGATAGCAGAAATAACCCAAGTGGCAAGCAGCATTCCAGGCATGATTGGATAAGAGCAAAAAGCTCTCATCCACACTGTGACAGAGGGTAGGATGGCCAGAACCACATGACCGCCGTCTCCCCCTCCAATGCCAGCCTGTGGACTTAGTGGAGTTTTCTCCCTCTCGCTCTCTCTCTTTTTTTTAAACAGCAAGAGCCTGAAACACCACCTTCCCAGCTGCTGCTTTTTTCCATCAGACAGGAGTGGCCCCAGCAGGGAGCTCTCACAGCTGACTGGGGCAGCAGACACACTCCGAGCCACGCGGCTATAAATCTACCCGCATCACACTCACAGGACAGTTCTTTCCGAACGCAGCAGGCACTGGGCGCTCTAACCACGCGAGACCTGGCACTGAAAACACCAGCACACACGGCACTTCCCCACCTCCCCGCAGGACCGAATGACGAACAGCAAAAATGCCTTGGCTCTAGGAAAACCCTTTCACAAGCCTCGGAGGTTATGTTCCTGTTATTTATGATATCACCACACTACCCGCATGGAATGCAAAGTAATAAAAGGTACTATAAATACAGTTACACACCCCACAGAATTAGTGTCCCTTTAATGCTAAATAATTAGACCGTGATCTACAAGTCACAAAATAGCTAAGGGCAAGGGGCACAAATATTCACACTGCCAGTTAGTGGTCTGCCTCCTGTTACTATAACCCTTTTCAGTTAGAAGGGAGGGTGTGTGTGTGTGTGTGTGTGTGTGTGTGTGTGTGTGTAACTCTCACATGATATGCTGTCAGAGAGGGAGAAAAGGGACCCAGCTGGAGAAAACATTTCTCTCATATGCCAGATAAGGGGAAAAAACAATTACCCGCCCCCCTCAACAAAAGGAAGGAAAATTGAAGAAGGGAGAACATGTGCTTTTCATAGTAAGTTAACTTAAATACCATACAGAAAAAAAGCTGCCCAGAGCCAACTTTTCCAGTGAGAAGTCAGCAATATTAACATGGTTGGGATGCTAGCATGGAATCTTGCTATTTCTGCAAAGGGCCAAAAAGGAGCTAAAAAAGAAAACTAAAGGTCCACATTAAAAAAACTGTCATCAGATTTGTAAACTTGGATATATTCTGGGTGTTTTAAATGAACTATTTTCCATGATCCAGAAACATTGGTTATTTAACAAAGAGGTTTATTTAGGAAGGAGTATAAAAAAAATAGGAGGGGAAAATACCAAGCTGCAAAGAGTGAAACAAAGTTTATTTTAAAATCCGCAAAGCATGACTTTGTCAACAGCTCTGGAGATGAGGGTATGAGGGATTAAACCTGTGTTTACATACATGCAAACCTGTTTTCTAAAGGCATGTGTTTTAAACGCTAGAAATGATCTCTATGAGAGAAATGGAAGCTAGTTTGTTTAGTGCTAAAACTGCCAAGTTCTGCCCTAGCTGGTTTGGCTCAGTGGCTAGAGCGTCAGCCTGTGGACTGAAGGGTCCTGGGTTCGATTCCGGTCAAGGGCACATGGTTGTGGGCTTGATTCCCCAGTGTGGGGCATGTGGGAGGAAGCCAGTCGATGATTCTTTCTCATCACTGGTGTTTCTCTCTCTCCCTCTCCCTTCCTCTCTGAAATCAATAAAAATCTAAAACAAACAATCAATCATAAAAAAAAACTGCCAAGTACCACCATAGTCATGTATTCTCTTAGCTAGATTAATGGCCAAAGAGAAAAACACCAGCAGTGACAACACTACAGTTGGCCTGGGGCAAAACTAGGTATTAATATAATCAAATAGTTTTTCAGATAAAGTTTGTATTCACACAGGATTTCTTAGACCTCTGCATTCAAAGCTCTTAAGGGTTTGGAAGTATATTTGGGCCCCATGGCAAGGTCATCTCAACAAGTCATTGTGTTAGATAATGGGAATGAGAAACAAATTTGTTAAAGTAAATTTCTCTTAATAAAGAAAATTAAGTCATGAATTAAACACATCTGACAGGCAATTTTCCCTCAAATTTGACCCTGCCTTCACCTTAAAGAAGTGTTATTATACTCAATAAATGAGTATGCATCTGTGACTCCAGGGACAACTGTCACTTTGCTGAGCACTGCCTAACTCACAGTCTTTGCTGGATGAGAGAGGGGGTTCTAAGACCTCCACCCTCAGCAGACTCTCCCATTCAATTTAAAAAGAAAATAACTTCAGAGACACAGCAAAACTGATTTAGTTATGTAGTACAACTAATTATCACCCAAGGTAAAAATAAGGCTGAGTTCGATGCAAAGCCACCAATAACCTAAATACATTTTTAATAGAAAAGATATCAGGAGGGTAGGCCAGAATATGTTGGTTCTCTAATTTGGAAAATAATAGCAAGCATCGATTAGACACACAACCAAATTCTATAATCGGGGTGAAGAGCCTGGTTATTTGCCACCACTGGCCTGAGACAAGGGGAACAGCAGTTTCCACCAGGGCACTGCCGACTGCCGTGTCTAAATCATGCCCGGGCTCTAGACCTCACCTCTCTCAATGGCAAGGTCAGGGAGGTAAGCCAGTTGTGTTATAAGGCTTCTCCAGACCAAATATTCTAATCTCAAGCTATTTAAAAATTTATTCAGTTGAATTCTACATCAGGAACGCTTCATAAGAACATTCATTTTAACAAGCCCCCAACAAAACAAAACAAAAAACGTAAGTTTCAGGGAAAGTAAATTTGAGTGACAACTGACTACACTTAATTATAATACCTCTTCTGAGAGTACCTTAAAAGCTGGCACATAGCCGAAACCGGTGTGGCTCAGTGGATAGAGCGTCGGCCTGCGGACTGAAGGGTCCCAGGTTCGATTCCGGTCAAGGGCATGTACCTGGGTTGCGGGCACATCCCCAGTGGGGGATGTGCAGGAGGCAGCTGATCAATGTTTCTCTCCCATTGATGTTTCTAACTATCTATCTCTCTCCCTTCCTCTCTGTAAAAAATCAATAAAATATATTTAAAAAAAAAATAGCTGGCACATGGCCGGGCCGGTGTGGCTCAATGGTTGAGCGTCGACCCATGAACCAGGAGGTTGCGGTTCGATTCCCAGTCAGGGCACATGCCCGGGTTGTGGGCTCAATCCCCAGCAAGGGGTATGCAGGAGGCAGCTGATCAATGATTCTCTCTCATCATTGATATTTCTATATCTCTCTCCCTCTCCATCTCTGAAATCAATAAAAAAAATATTTTTTAAAGCGCTAGCACATAACTGAAAGTTCATTTTCATAGTTGGAACAGTTGACTCACAGGTACTCGATGTTTACATTCTAATTAGGTAACTGGCAAAATGCTTCAAGCCAGATTTGCTTCTGAAATTCCATTTCTAAAATGAAATCTTAATTTTATCACACACACACGTTTATAGATATATACTATAACTGTATCTTACCTATCTATCAATCTCTATATAAAATGTTAGTTTGTTATCAGTCTCATGCCTCAGGCATATCTTTAGTTCTTTAAAGATACTTTCTACTAATTTCCCTTGAGAAAGTACCACTTTTAAAATACAGCTTAATTTTACCTGCTAAATATAGATTCACTTTTTGCTCTCTACTGTTAATTAGATTTGGGTTTCCCCAAGGAAGGTCACAATAGATTCACGATTGGATAGGTGACAGTAGTGTGGTCTGGCTCATATTTTAAATCCCTGAAAGGTTTATTTATATGAGCGATGGCCTCTTTCCAGATTTGCCCATCATTCTGTATTCCCAACAGAGTGTAAGTAAGCATATGGTTTGATATATCATCAGTGTGACTTTCACTAATATTAAGTATGATAAAAACATTTGCATATACAAATAAAATTTCTGTCCTAGCCATACGAAAATATCTGTTAGAACCATGAGTTTGTAATGGAACAAAAATAAAGCCATGGGTTAGAGGCATATATACTGTCAGAAGTACAACATAAACACAGTTTTTAAAGCAGCAGCTGTAAAACTAAATTTTTTTAAAAAATGAAGCAAAAATAAAAACTGAGACCCACTTACCAATCTGTTCTCATCAAATACTTCAAAGAGGAGTCTGTGATTAGATGGATTTACCTATAGAGACATAAATGGTACTTCAGAATGGGCAGAAACAATTGAAAGGATGAAATAAGAGATAAAGAATGGAATGCTTATAATGTACCCAAATCAAATGTGTAATCTTAACAAGTGTCTTCTTCTGAAAATCCTATATCTACTAAATCAAGTCATCTGTTTATTTCTATATTGTTCTGTGCCCAATACTGAGGTATATTAGAAGAAAATGCTTTTAGCTGCTTTTCTAACATTAGAAAGGATAATTCTGAATAGTTTTAAAGCGTTTTTCAAACTCCTCTACAAAAGGTACGCTCATGTTTCTGGACCAGCAATTTTCAACTAAAATTCTTTGGCACACCAAAAAAATATACTTTTTGCTGATGTGACCCAAAAAAGGTATAATTTTGATTCATTCACTCCAGACGGCTATTGTTGTGCTGGCTGCTGTCATTTTTTTATTTGACAATCTAAGGGAAAAGAAGTCAGTGCTTCTGACTAAATAGGTATTGAAGGTTTTAAGAATTCTTGCAGCATACTGGTTGAAAATTGCTGCTTTAGACCAAGGCTACATCTTCACAAGGTCTATGCCTGAGGGTAGCTCTTAGGCCTAATCAAAACAACAACAATAAAATAATAGCAATAATTAAAATAATGACAAAATAGTAAAAAAAGCCATTCACTACATCGTGCTTATTTTCCAGGCACAATCTTCTCATTAAATATCAAAAACACATGATCTCCTTTAATACTGACCGAAAACCTATGATGTGTTAACTGTCACCACAATCTTACAAATGAGGTGCTGAGACCATGAGGGTGTAGTAACTTGCCTAAGGGCCCACAGCTACTATGCAAGGCAACCAGAGCCCCCACCAGAGCCCAGGCTTTAAACCATTAGAGAGACAAAGAGAAAAAAGATGTGCTCCCCTTCCAACAAACTCGGGGTCAATGTCAAAGCTACTAGGCTTTCAATGTCTTTTTGCTTGTTTCTGTCTCTCTACCAAAATCTCCCCCAAATGGCAGGAATAATCACTCAGACTCCAGTATCATTTCGTGAGTACCAGCCACATGTGAGACATGGTGGTAGGTGTTCTCATTTATACTATCACATGTAAATTCTGGAAACAGCCTCCTTGAGCGAGGACTTTCTCTCCTATGTAAGCGGCAAGGAACCTACAGAGGAGGTG